GCCAACCGGACAGTGTTGCTGCCGAGACTGAAAACTTTATTTAAATTAAAGTTGTTTTAGAAATAACTCGCGAGTTTTGCAACGTCGTCAACAAATTGTATACTTTTAGATGAATATAAGCAGCTGAAATTTGAAACGATGCCAAAACGCTGAACGGTCGAATAATTAAAATTTGTTGCCGGCCGGCTGGTGATGAATCGCCGTTGGCGCATCTCTTGCAGTGACATTTTCACGAACACTCTTGGCATTTATATGAATGCAGCATTGTAAGAGCTTTAGAGGTGCGGCCAATGTAGCTGAAGTGCAACAAAACTGCTCTCAATTGTTCATTTCAAATTAAGAATATTTCAAAACTCTTTTATTTTTCTCCCACTCGGTTCGCGAGAAGCACATTCCGAAAAAAAATCGTTTGTTGTGTTTAACTGTGCGGCTGCGAGTAACGAGGTCACCAGTCCGCTGCCAGTGAAGCTAAAGAGCATTTTTCATAATTGCCAGCGCGCGAATTGAAGAGAGCGAGAGCTCTCGGTGAAGCAACTGGGGCGAAACGCCGCCCGGCATTTTTTTTTTCATATTTTTTTTTCAACCTCCGCAATTAATTTACCCACAATTCTCGGGGCAGGCTTCGGGATTATTGATATTTTGGTGCAAAGCAGTTAATTCAATTATCACAGGGGGCTTTGGGTTTTTCCTCGCACTTTTGGCCGCGTATATTGTTTTGACCCTTTTCCTGCAGTATGCGTAATATCAGTGCCGTTGTGGGTCTTCCTGATCGCCGGCCGAGAGCTTCAGGTGTAAACAATCACCAGGCCAGCAAACAACCCCTATATCCTCATTAACTGGCCGCTCTCTCTCTCTCCCGTGCGGATACTTTTTCGCTATTACGTGCTTCTGCCGGCGCAAAGCCACTAATGAGCTCCCTTGAAAACAGCTCAGCCCCCTATTTCATCCAAGATTTCCAATTACTGTCGTTGCGAATCGATCCCCTGTCAGCAGTAGCGCATAGTGAAACATAAGGAAGTGGACTTTATGGCTATCCGGCTGCATGAAATATATCACTCAATTTACTTCCGAGATGTAAGAAAGAACAAAAATCATAGTTGATTATGGGTGGGTCCGAATATAACATAATTGATTTTTGCAGCGATTCTCGAGAAGTGATTCTCGCGCTAGGATTCTCAAGGAACGCTTCTGTGGTGGTTCTTCAATGGCAGAAACGTTCCTTGAGAATCCTTACGCGAGAATCACTTTTCGAGAATCTCTTCTCGGGAAGCATTTATCGAGAATCGCTACGAGAATAGATTCTCTCATATACGGACCCAGCCAGTATTTTTTTTTCGGAAGTATGTGAATAATTGTGGTAAATTATATTATATACTCATTGTTACTTACAATTAATATATTTTGCATTTTTTTTTTACAAATATTTTACAATATTGCTTTTTATGGGGACTAATTTAGGCTTATTGACGCACCCCTATTGAAGGCAGATTTTCATTGTTCATGTAGCTTTGTAATGAGTAAAAAGCCGGATTGACCTTTTCGCTTCAAATGCGTCACATTCAAATTTTTATTCAAACGACCTTTAAAAATTAGCCTTTGAACATTCAAAATTTTATAAAGAAAGGATAATTAAATTGCAAAATTTTACGTATATTTTCACAAACGATTTGGTTAACAAAAGGCCAAAGCTATTTTAACCAATAAATAATGATTCAGATTTCAATTGATCAATACGCATTGTCAGTGACTTTGCTTAAACAACTTCCTTTTTCGATTTGCAAATACGATGCCCCAGAAAGAAAATTTATAAAGCGTGATTCGCACCTAGCAAGAACCATTATAAAAGCACGTAGTAATTTCCTGCGCTGCAAAAAGTTGGCAGTTCCGCCGTGTCAGCCGCCCCACTCTATATTTTTTCCGCTGCATTTTACACACAGGTATAATATCTCCACTTGAGCCCATAATGGCGGTGCGCTAAGAACAGGCAATCGATAGAGCTTTGAAAATAGGTCAGCGTGTGCAGAGTGGAAGGTCCCTTTTTCCGTCGGCACGTGGCTGGAAATAGGTCACAGCCCCTCGTCGCGGTGCACACAATCGATCTATATACAAACCCCTGCATTTCTGCACGGTCGTTATAATAAACCACGAGCGCGCCTCGCGAGAGAGCAGAATTAGTTCGGAATGCCGGCCGGTCAATGTGCACAAAGGCTAAATGCACTTCTCGGCTGCATGTGCTTTCTAACCGCGCAAATTATTTATACGAGAGCCTTGTGAAAGTCGCTCCCAAGAGCCGCTGGTGCAATGGGAAAGTTTTTACGGCAGTTCCGTTGCAATCTTTTTGTATGCATATTTCACATTGAGGCCGATTCGAAGATTATGCAGATTTTTTTATAAAAAAACAAATGAGTTAAACGCACACACAACACACGCGGGGTCTTCCGCTTTTGATTAAAACGACCATAGCCTCTGGCACACTTTGAAAGGAAAAGCTTTTTATCATTGCCTTGGAGGACTGAGGTTGATGATAATTTTGTTTTGTTTTTTACACGTGTGGTTATTTATATACTTAAAAAGGTGAATTAAATGAAGTTAAAAACTTAATTTGGCTAAATTGATTATGAACTTCAAAACTAAAAAAAAGAGCAAATGATTAAGACTCTAACAATTAAACAAGCAACAAAAGAGGGGCTTAAGTTTTATTATTATTATAATTTTTGTTAATTTGTCCAAATTCAATTTTGAGATGCAATTTTGCTAGAAAAGAAGTAACAAAGAAAAATTATTCAGGAAACTAAAAACTAAATTTGGCACTGTAAAATGACATTAAAAATTGACAGAATATTCCAAAATATCTCCAATTTAATATTTTTTTGTTTATTGAATGTAGCTGTACATTTTACATTTCCAATTCTATGAGATTAAGAAATAAAACAACCTTTCATCATAGCATGGCAAAAAGTAAAAAATGAACTTTTGATGTCATTGCTCCTTTCAACCTGTGTGTACGTAAGCGTCAACAAAAAACCTCCATTTCTCATTTTCCTTTTTCTATCCGAGCACAATTTTTCTTTTCCTTGAATATGCCATTATGCGTGGTCATAGAAGTTTATACAAATCGAGCAATAAGTAAGTTAAAAGAGCTGTTTTGCTCACAGGCAAGGCCATAAATAACCCAATGAATTGACAGCGTTTTTTACCTTTAAAGTCCATACATTACGTGCATATTATTCGCTGTCTGCACTGCTTGTATGAAGACAAATGCCTCATATATAAATAACGTTTGACAATTTAATGATGAAGAATTGCTTTTCTATTAAATTTCTTGGTCATACGTGTGTGCAGCACATGTGTAGAACAAGGATCGAGTGCAGGAATCCTTCGTGCGAGAAAACTTCTTTTTCTCCAAGTGCACTTTCTTATTATAAATAATTGATCTACAATTGCCGTTGTCGAGCATGAAATGAGGCTGGGAACACATGCTGTTGCGCTACTCCTTTTATATAAAATGCACTCGCTGGTGTGTGCATGTGAGAGACCACACGTGCAGCTCTCCCGCTTGTATTTATAGAAAAGTTGTGCACAGCTCCATAAATTTATTAGGAATCAAGAAAGTAGCCGTCAGGTTTATTAACGACCTTTACTTTGTTGGTACTTCTGAACTTTTTTGCCGCAGCACGTGTGTGTGTGTGTAAAAGTTAATGGCCAAAATAAATAGTCTTCAAGAGCTGCTGACAAAATGCGCCGTTATTGTTGTAATAAAAGCTCATTCCGAGTATAGGGGGCTGGTGTGAGAAAACGATGTTTTCCGCGACCGTGTTGGTTTTAAATTATTCTAATGTGTGGTGGGTGCGCACACCGCATTAAGGCCGGGGGAGTTTGTAGATAGATAAGAGCAGGAAATTTGAATAATTATTAGCCGCAGTGAAAATATAAATACAAGCAGCGCCTTTTATTTTATACCGAGACCTCTGCTCAGGTTGAAAATTATTTCCTGTTAATTAAATAAGGCTGAGCGCATGTTTTTCCAAAGGTTTCGCGCTCCAATGCACACGTGCGGCCATTCTTCGGGCAAGGGAAATCTGTTTTGTATCCTTTGCTAGCCAATATTGCTTCCTCATGCACACGGAGGAAGTGATAACGATTTTTTTTTAATCTTCCGCCGCTCTCTCAGGAAACCAACTCTTTACATTTTCGTCTCTCTCGAAACTTTTTCCTGCATCGGTTATATATATTTTTTGAAGTGATGCATTATTGTTGTCCGCATGGCAGTGTAAAATGAGTCTAATTCATCATCCACACAACTGCTCTTCATTTAATCTGGACGAGTGCTCTTTGCACAAAAGCAGCGGCAGCAGCTGTGAAAGCGCCGAAATCTCGGCTGCTTTTTGTGTATTTATAGAGAGAGAGAGATGCTCATTCTTTGACGCGACGGAGCAAGTGTTTTCCACCGCGTTCTGCTGAATAATGCATTGCTCGCGGTCATCTCTCTTTGTCATTTCGCTGGAGAACAATTTTTCACTCTTGATCTGATAACGATCAAACCTCAGGGGAACTGCAGTCGATTTATGGCACTCCAAAGAAAGAGAGAAAATAGTAACAAAATTAGTCTGCAAGATCAATTATAATGATTTATTTTTAAAATTACTTAAAAAAATAAAAAACAAATTGAATAGAAAAAGAATTTTACATAATTAAATTAACTAAACAAATTTTTAATACACATTTAAAAAAAAATGAGAAAAAAAAGAATTTTGCATAATTATTATTATTTATTCTTCTCGGTCATTGAAATTAATTTAACCAATTTATAAAATAATAAATAAATAATTTCAATTTCAAATCGAGTCTTTGATTATGAAACAAATTGTGCCTTTTTCGGCAATTAATAAAAGCAATTGGAAATTTTTAACCACTACAGTTGTAGGAACAATTAGGGGAAAAAATTATATTGTATACTTTGTGATTTTCTTGAATTTTATATTTTATTTTTGTGATTGCAGGTCGCGCAAAAGGCGTCCCAGCAGCAGCAACGGCAGTCCCTCGGACGAGAACAACCAGGACTGCATGAACGAGTGCACCGCCGCCCTGGTGCTGATGAGCCTCTCGTGCAGCCCTCACTCCCCCAGGCCGTACTACATTGACGGTAAGTCCCCGCAAATCATATAAAAATTTATGCCGCATCCTCTTCCTCGCTCCAGACCAATTACGCTGATTGCTTTATGGCGCAGAAAGAACCGGCTAAAGAAAATTAAGGCAGACAGAATGAGTCATGATCTTGCTTGTTCAATAATAAAAAAGAGCAGAAGTCAGGTGTTCGCGATAAAAGAAGAAAAAATAAACACACACACACGACTCGATGTCTGCCGATGAATCTCCTTCCCTAACCCGGAGGCACGTCGGACCAAAAGTTGCAAGACGAGAAACTCCCAAAGTCAATCCTCTCCGCGTCTCGGTCGTATAATATAATATAACAGCTCGCGTAAAAAGAGGAGATGTATTCATTTTTTTCTCCTCTCCGAAATCACCTGCGGCCACAAAACATCATTACTAAACTCTCTGTTGAAGGTGCGTAGTATCTTCTGCACCACTCTGGCCGACTTTCCTCATCCTATCAACCTGCTCGCTCGGTTCTTTTTTTTTCATCGCCATACGAGATGAACGGACTTGTTTTTCTTTTTTCCTCTCTCTGAGCTGAGCAACGGTCTAACCGAGTCGCGCTGATCGTTTTATACATAAATTCAAAGTGGATGGAAAACACAGAAGCTCTTTTAAATTATAGACCCCATCAGTTTTTATATATATACGAGAATCTCCTTAAAAGATTTATCCTGGACGAGAAAAACACAAAAGCGCCTCCCCCTCCACACTCTCTTTCTCGCGCATGTGATATTGTAAATAATAGAGAAAAAAAAGAGTTCATCACGAGAAGAAGACACTGCAGCGGCTTTTGATGTCGTGTACGTCGCGGTTGCAAAAATCCCTCCTGACCACAAAAAGCAGCAGCTCTCTCAGTCAGTCAGTCTTGCGACAATAAGCCTACTTTTTCAGAGTAAATACGCTCATTAGTCATTGTCACTTGCTTTGCGCGCTCAGGAAACGGAAAATCCCTTGTGGTTGCAACATTTTGCCCGACTTGCGTCACCCGGCCGAATCGGTTAAATGCTTTTGTTTTATTGCTTCCACCAGAACCGGCACAAGAAGCTCAACAACAAAAACAGGCTTGGGAATTAAAATGAGTTAGGGACATTTTTGCACAACAAAGATAAATAAAATATATTATTTTTTCTATTTTACACTATTTTTATTAATATTAATTCTATTATAAATTTTATTCTTATAATTATTACTATTTTTACAAATTTTTAGTAAAATTGTTGTGTGGGAAACATAAAATGGTCAGAAAATTATTTATCTTGATTTTTTTTTTATAAATTATGATTTGATGTCATTGCAATGAAATTAGCCCTCTGTGAAAAAGTAAAATTTAACATGTAATTCTGCACTTAATCAATTTAACATCAAAAGAACTTGAAAGAGAGAAAAAAATTCAATGCCGAAATTACACTCCTGTGCTCGCTTTAATAGGGCGTCTCAGACCTTTCTGCTGGCTTTTATGTTTTATTTTTTTTTTGCGCGCGGTGCTCGCCGAAAAGTAGCAGTTGCCGGAAAACGGTACCCACCACCATGATCATGTTGATGATCATCATAATATAGCGTGCAACTCTCAAAGCCTACTACACACTGCCGAGCTGTGCTTTTCTTGCGCGGCTAATGACCTAACAACGCTCGCAGAGTTTGACGACCCAAGCCAGCGCAAAGTGTGGCGTGCCTCGCTTGTTTAGACTCAACGCCGGCCGGCCGGCTTGCTTGCTCAGACCGGCTCAAGCTAAATGCCACTTTTATTTTGGCTCTCGATTGAGCAATTCGCCCTTTGCATTTTGATTAATTCCTCGTGCACACCAGACGAAAGCATCGTTTATCCCCGCCGGTGTAATTTTTACAAACCTTTCCCCGCTCCGGTGTTGTTTTTTTCCGACAGATAAATTGCTTTTTAATCGCACTCGTTGGAACGGACATGGAAATTATTATGCTCCGAAATTATTTGAGATTAACTATAACGACGAGTCAAATGCTTTTGATGACCCCGGCAAGAAACATGCGATCGAGTCATTTTTATTTTTGTTCGCCGAACGAAATTAATAAAATATATATAAAAAAAAGGAAACAAAGAATAGTTTCGCTTATCAGCGAAAATTAGAGTCCATTATTGTTGTGAAGAAATCTTTTTTTTTTCTTTGTTTCGGTGTGCGATTGGCTTCTTTATCGCCGGCGTCCTCAAAAAGATCAACAACCTGCTGCTGCCATGTTTTATTGGCGCACAACGCCAAGGCCGCTCGCTTGCTTGTATCGATCATTGACCACGGCCAGTGCTCTGTATGTTCACGCGCCACTCACACTTTTCCAGCAGCGCCGGAAAAGCGGCTCGAGCGTCAGCACCAGCTTTTTTGAGGAAGGTCGTGACGGACGTTGGGAAATCGCCGCTTCATTTCCCGTGCACGTCACTTTTTTTTATTTTGTTCACCTCATCAGCTGCATTCGGTGTCGACCCTGAAGGTCGCAGCCAGGGTTATTATTTGCGGAAATGCAGAGATGATGGATGCACAGGTGGCTGATTCATTATTTTCAAACGCAAGTTGTTGCGAGATAAAATGTGCAGCTGCAGCGGAAAGTGCATCTGGCACAGCTGAAAGATGCCCCGCCGCTTACTGCGCGCGATTTATTGATAATTTTATGCTTTTTGCCGATGCGCAGCCTTTTTTTATGATATGCACTTGTTTTTATATCAGATCGTTCTTGCATTTATAAACGATTTCATTTTATTTGCAATAAATAAATGAATATAAGAACAAACAATTTCTGGTAAAAAATAAATGATCAAAGATGATTTATTTTTATTCCAATTTAAATTCACTTTCATTTACTTTTATCAATTTTTCAATTTCTCCGCAATCGGTTTCTCAACAGGTTTCTCCATTTCTCCGGGCGTGTGTATTTTATTTCGCAGGGAAAACGAGCCGGCGAATAAATTATGCCCGCTTTGCTCAACTTCCTCCTTAAAAGCATTCTCGTGTTCGCGATCTGCATTGTCATTCGGCTCAAATTGAGCGTGATCGGTGTAAAAGTGTACGGAATAATAAAAATTGCATAATACGTGAGATCGCCCATGCACATCACTTGGGACGTATTTATTACCCTTCCTGCTCGTTATGCAACGTGCTCGGCGTGAAAATAATGAGTAACGCTGGTGCATCTCATTATTCACCGGCCGGCGCGCGACGAGACTGACATTTTCTCTATTTCAAATTGTTGCCAGCGGCGGTGGATCAGATTGCAATGTCACCTACAATTCGCGATTACAGCGGATGAAAATGAGATCATTTACTGAAATCAAGAAACTTAAGTAATCAATTTTTAAATTTCATTAAAATTTTATTTATTCTCCATTATTTAAAATTCATAACCAGAGGGAAAAGATAATTTTTGCTTCTGAATCAAATTATTCATTCCACTCATTTTTTTTATCCAAATTTTAATCCATTTTTTTTTTTATTAAATCTTGTTTTTCATTCTAAATCTGCAAGTTGGGGCTATTTTTTATATTTTTATTCATTTGTTAGAGTTTAAATCTCTTGCAAAAAGTAAAACGCACGCGCAAGTCCTTTTGTTTGAAGAGTTTTATAGAAAAGTTCACGACAGCTGAAGAGAACAATTGTGAAAGCAGTGCATGCGCCTTCATGAATAAAAATGCACTTGGCCCTCACTTCAAGGAACTATCATGCAAATTCAATTTGCGCCTCGCGAATCTCTCGCTCGCGACACAAAGAGTGAAAGTCTATCTCGGTTTGGCTCTGCTATTCTCTTTATTACATTAAAAGTTTCTTTTGCACGCCCGGCCGTATTGTAACAAGTGGGGCACATAACTCAAAATTAACGTCTGGCCAACGACTTTTGGCAGGTCGAAGTGAAAATTATTATTCTGCCAGTCGTGATCGATAAAATCGGGGCAGACCGAATAATAAAAAAAAAACGCCCAGAGCAACGGCCAAAGTGAGCGAGCACGACAAATTCTTTTTTTTTATTTATTATCCACGAACCTCTTTCGAAATGAGGACGTTTTGTCAATGTTTTTCTTTCCTGTTTGTTTTGCGTCCATTTTTGTAATTAAGTGTCGAGAGAGGCTTTCTCCCCGAAAAAGTCATCTGTCAGCATCGAGAGCACTCTGATGATTTTTGTTTTATTATTTCAAACGGAACTCCACCGCATTATCAATTAATCACAAAATTTGATAAAAAAAAAACAATTTGTCTTGAGAATTGATGTCGTGCCGTTTTTTACGCACATTAAAATAAAACGCGTTTCAAATGATAAATCTAGTTGAGTTGAAATATTGATTTCACTTTTATTATTCTCATCGCAGCTACAAAGTTATGTGTGCATTCATAATGCATGTAATAACTCATGTCACTGCTCTCTCTGTGGCGAGCGATATTAGTCCAAAGCCGGGAAAGCTGAGTGTGTGGATTTTACACAATAGGCGACATTATTCATCTCTCTCTAGCTCTCGGGATTATTAAGCAATCACACTCAGTATGAAATCTTTTAGCCTTTCTCTAAACAAAGTAACAGCCTTCGATGTGAAAATTTCATTTTCTTCAACGTATCAAGTAATATACAAAGTCATTTTCTACTGGGCAGTTTACCTTCTGACGTCAGTCGCAAATAGGCGGCGATTTTCTTTAACAAGTTCAGAGAAGAGAAGGCCTAGGACAATCTGCGTGAAAAAAATCTCCCACTTGAGCCGTCAATGGCAACTAATTGTGAACGTTTTTGCAAGCGAAGGTACTAACCTTCGAATGAGCCGAGAGTGTGCAAATAATCCGACCTTGGCGCTTGAAACGCAAAAAGGATAAAATTTACTGCGGAGAAAGCTGCTGGAATTTGCAAATGTAGAAGTTTTTATTTTATCGCAGTATTTGAGAGGGTAAAATAAAATTGGCGAAGAAAACTGAATATCAAAAACTAATTAAAAAAAAATGCAAGGCTCTCAAAATCAGTTTATTAATATTTAATATTGTTGTAGAATTTCACTTTCGGGGGTGATTTGAATTTGAGATCGTCTTTTCCTGGATGGGTTTTGTGACTTGTATAATGTTAAGGAAAAAAAACAATATTAGGATATTGTTACATGTTTCGGCTGCAGCCATAATTCATGAGCTGTGAAATTATTTTGGCAAGAATTAGTACAAAAACCATTTTTTTTTTTATATATTTTTCTTTTAAATCAACACTTTTTCGTCAAAAAATTATTGAAACTTGAAAGGTTACATTTCTACACAAAAAAAGTATTTCATAAAAAATTTGACAATTAAATTTAAAAAAAAAAAAACGCATGTATTTTTTTTATTAAACAATAAACAACTCACAAAACCCATTGAGGAAAAGCCGACTTTAAATTGATATCACCATAATATTTAATAATTTGCAGTCTTGAATTATAAATATTTTTTAATCTGGTTTATTTAAAAAGCTTTTTACTCATTTCCCCCTCAAAAATGCACGGTTTTAAAAGCTTAATAAACTCGGCTAATGCATCCGGAAAAGCGGCAAGCACAACCACATTAACAGGAACAAACTTCTAGGTTTTGATCCGCATTTCGCCGAATCCAAAGCGTGTATATAAAACGTAAATGAATTTTCCGGGAAGAGAGTTGATGGCGTGGGCGGTGTGTGCCGGCCGGCGACGGAATTCGCGATAGAGCGAGCGTTTCTGCGAACTGCGCAGTTGTTACGCAATGGGCGAACGACGCAATTGAGAGAGCGAAAGGGCGGCTCTAGCATCAGCAACCCTGGCCGGCGAACACTCTCGCTCTCTCTAGGCGCGCCGAAATGGCGCAGTCTCTCTGTTGGCGAAATTTGCACACTTTCGCAATGGCGCCGCACACATATACAAGCTGCACGATTCGGCGCGCCGAGCACATTTTGCGAATAGGCCACACTGCCTGCGCTTGAGGTAGGCCTTTCGCGGCGCGGCGCTCTCTTCGGTGCTGAAATCGAGCCGCTGCCGACTAATGTTGCGAAATTTTTCGCTCTACCCGACAGAGAGAGAGGTGCTAGGAAGGTGCCTCAATAAAACGGCCGTGCGTGTCTCTCATGCCACGGGACGCGCACCGAATAATAATAAAATCCTCTTTCCTGCCTTTTAATGGGCAACCGGTCAATATTGTGACCTGCAACTTCCTTGTATACGTACGTACGTGTGTGGTAAATTTCCAAAACTAATGGCCTGCTCAATTTAATACACAAGATTCGGTTTATGGCAGGAAAATTGCAATACCCGTTGTGAGAAGTAATCACGGATTCTGACGACACCCTAATGGCGTTTCCGTGCTCAAAAACATTAATTTTATATAGGTGGAAATTAACTTGGTCAAAAGTTGATGATTTCATGGAAATTATATACAAGTCTTTTATATATTTAAAAAAAAAACTCTTTCCCCCACTGTTCAACGGATCAAAGAGTTCAATTACTTGATTTAATTATTTTTAAATATTTAAATAATTTTTTTTAATCTTTGCCAGACTGCATTTATTATTATTATTTTTTTTAATTCCAGAGCAAAACACCTGCCCCCGAAATAAATAAATATAAAACGCTGCGAGAAAGCAATAAAGAAAGTGATTTAATCCGAGAGTGGTGGTGCCCGTGAAAACAAACAATCAATGGCCCACTTTGTTCTCGAAAGCCAATATCATCCGCCCTTGCTACAATGGGCCCTATTATTTCCAGTCTCTCCACCGATATAAAAAGTGACGTAAATCCCTGCAGCGTGTACGCGGGCAGCAGTGTTTACTCGGAAGCCGCTCCGAAATGCAGCGAATGCCCGTGCACTTGGGAGATAATTACGAGACAATGGCCAGCAGTCTTTGTGTTGATAACGGCCCCCGAGGAGATAAAAAGCAATAACAGCACCATAATGCCCGGCTGCATTTCCATCACGTGCAGCAGCTGATAAAAAGCATCTCAAAATAATGAGACTGCTGCAGACAGCATGACGAGAGAGAAAGATCGGATGGTGTAATTATTATTTTGTGATGAACCTGCATTTCGCCCGCCGGAGTGATGTAAGCAGCGACATGTGCGCACCAAATTGATGATGTGCAACTTCTGATTGACGTAATTGAATTTCTCCCTCCCATGTGTCATGTCCGCCGCAGAAAAGGAGAAATAAAAACTAGGGTCTTATCAGTGTATATAAAAAAAGTTGCGATCAAATACAACGTCGAACGTGCGTATTTCGTTTAATGTGAAGAAAAAAATATAACAAATTGTGATTGTGTGACATCTGGCGCAAACAAAAAAATTGCAAAATTACAAACTTTTCTTGGGTTTTATCTGCGCAGCTCAGGAGCAGAAAGGGCCTTGTCGAAGGCATCATGGCAAAGATAGGAGGGCGTCATGGCCAAACTTAATGTTGTGACGTCATGTTTATCATCAGATACGCCAGATAAACTCACTCGGCTGTTTACATTATACTATGCATGGTGATGCAGCCCACAGCGTGCATTTTTATGTTCACTAAAGCGTGTCATTATATTCCTTTTGCAGCGCTCGACACACATGGCCCCCCTGCTTTGATTTTATACATTCAAACTAAAAGTGCAATTTATTTATTTATTAACCAAACAAATAATTATTTCCCAAATGATAAATAAAAATTCAATTAACCAGCCATGGCGTGAACTTTGAACGTTCTCGCCAAGGTCGAGTGTGTGCGAGAGAGCCGTTCGTTCAAAGATCAATATTCGCCTCCTCTCTCTCTCTCTCGCTCTCCTACAAGTGCGCACGACACTTTTGGTTTCCTGCTGCTCACTTTTGTATCCCTCCGCGCCCATAACATATTATTTCGCAACACAGAAAATCTGCACCGCGAATTCGTAAACAGAAGCGCGATTTTTGACGCTTGCAAATTCTCCGACAAGTCACGTCGCGGCCTCGCTGCCGGCCGGCATCACAATCTCGCCGAGTTTCGCAAACGCAACTCGTTGGAAGTGCAAGGATGGAACGTGTGCTAGGCTAATATTGTATATCCACGCACACCTCGCAGAAATGTTGCGCAAAATAGCCTTGACGCCGCCGTGTATTTATATACTCGTGCTTATAATACGCTGTATATATAAAATATATATCGCGCACACTATGATTTACACATACAAACACAAATATAAAAAAGGGCGATTCAAACTCCTTTAATTTATGTTCAATAATTTTCAAATCAATTCTTACTAGCAAAAAATGTTTCATAAGAAGAAAATAATATATAAAAGAAAATGTCTTCAACCAATCAATTTTTTATTTGCATAAAATTAATATTGTGATTTTAAAGTCAGCTTTTTCTCGAAAAACAATTTTTTTCTTAAACAATAAACAACTCACAAAACCCATGAAGGAAAAGCTGACTTTGAATTCAAATCACCATGAATCGTGAAATTCCACCAAAAAAAAAAAGATTAATAATTTGAAAATTCTAAATTAAAATATAATGATTCATAATAATTTTTATACCGCTATTGAGATCATGAGCTCAAATTTTAGTTCACAAAATTTGATAGAAAAAATCCATTTTATTTGAGCCCTTTATTTATTCCTTTTTCCTGTCTTTTTTTCAAGGCATAAATTCCTGCTGTAATACAATTCTGATTTATTTCCTCTTTATCTATCCGGATTAATTTTGCCAACTTTCTCGTTTGAATTGCCCTCATTGCGTGCATGTTGTATACAAATACGTAATAACTTTATTATCGCAACATTTTATGTTATTCACGAGCGAGAGAGACGACCTACGCGCCGCGCACCGATTATTTCATTTACAGCCCCAATAAATCCCGACTTAATCTATTCTAATAGATCTTCCTCGTGCGTACATGCACGGATTAACTGGGAGAACCTAGTCCGCCCATCGCCAATAAGACCTTCTCCATTGTCCGTGTAATCTGCGGCCGAGAATTTATTGCACCAATCTGCAGCGCGATAAAAATCGAGAGTGCACCGGTGGATTTTTCCCTCTTATCAAAAAGTAACTGCATTATTACATTTTTCGCCTTCGGAACAGAAACGGTCCCCTTATCATTAGTTTGACCTTGCAAAAGCATCTCCCCATCCATACGTGTGGCAGCTCGGACGACCATCATTCAAGGCCGGCCGGCTTTTTTACTCTGACGCGGCGTACGCAATTCCGGTTTAAATTTTGATTGATTTCCAAGCGCGACTCTTTTTGACGCACTGACGGAAGCGAAATTTTCCCGGACGTGGTCAAGGGAAATGTGTCAGGGTGTGTCCCGGCAGGAAAATCAAGGGCCATATTCGATAGCAACCCAATTTCCAACTACGATGACGCGCTTATCTGATGTTTACCTTCAATAACTACACTGTAAAAAACGGGATGCTCGATTTTACGTATTTGGTAAGCAATCTCGTTTTCTGCTGAAAGACGTAAAAGTACGTCTCCTCTCCAAAGGGTATTTTACCTGAGCGCGCGTACTTTTGCGCCTCCCCTCCCGTAGATACATTTTACGGATTTGTTACAGAAAATTTCTCCCTTAGCACAGAATATTGCGTACTGTGTCCGTATTTTTGTTTTATTTCTTTTATATGTAATTTTATGGTATTTTTACAGAAAATCACTCATTTTATTTTTGCTTTTAAAGGTTACTTTTATTGCAAAGAAATTAAATTCACAGATTTACAGAGTACTCACACTAATACAAAAATTAATGATCAAGTCAATAAAGCTCTAGAAGTGTCCCAGATGCTGTTTTGAGCCGGGTCTCCATATCTTTGCTGATCCATCTCGCGCGTCAACAGGAAAACATTGTCTGGAAAATCCAAATATCAAAATAAGCAAAAGAAATTCAGTCTTGAATAATTAATAAATACCTCTTTTTAACAACCCAGACGCAATTTCAGTCTCGGTGTAGTTCAACAGCAGGCGTTTCAACTCCATTCTGGAAACAAGTTAATTTTTAATGGCATGATATTTAAAAAAAAGTTATTTAAAATCTCATATTTCCTTCAAATAAAAATAAATTCACAAAACTTACATTTTTTTTACGCTCTCCATGAGCCATCCGGGCTCTCCAACTTGAAATCGAGCGGCCGCGATCCCCTAATTGTCCATAATTTTGTGAAATGCTGTGCCTGATGCAGTAAATAAGAAGTGTTCTTTGTGGCGAAAGACGCTAAACTGATTGCTGCCGAGGCGCCGAGGGTTGAATTTTGTCGGTTGCTGGCGTGGGTGATGACATGTTCAGCCTCTCTCCCTATTTTCTCCAGGTTGAGCACTGGCTTTCCTCCCCTGACATGCATTCACTCAGGTAAAAGTCCCATTGTGAGACGTAAAATTACGAATCTGTTACAAAGACTCGCGCTACATCCCAAATACGTAAAATCGTATTTCGATTTCATACGTAAAAGACTTTTACGACGCAAAGTACAGAAAATTCAGTCTGTCTGTATTTTTTTTACTACAGATCTGCAGTGATTCGAACGTAAATTTCCGGATATTTTTTACAGTGTAGCCTAGTTTGCAAATAGAAAATTGCGTTTGCAGGTACTTAACATTGTGCGCCGCTTTTTATCTTATCTCGTGTCATTTGTTATTTTTTTTCGAGCACACCGTTGGCGAATTCCTGCAGCTACTTGCGACACCGAGAGAAAGGATCACTCTCACTTTTTGCCGGGCAAAAACTCTCTCGCCGATTTATTTATATATAAATTTTTTCCAACCGCCGCCAGCATTGTTTTGGTTCCACATTTCGGGTGCACGGAAGGCAAAGTTTAATGGCAGTGAAAGTGGAATTTCTCCGGCGCTCCATCCATTCACCCACACTTTCGCCGGCGCAGCGCAGTGAGCAAGCCGAGAGAGCCCAGATATAGCTGCTGAAGCGGCGCATGTAGCTCTTGCTCCACTTTTTAGTAGGCCACGTAAATGGTGCGCGCACTGCTTGACATCGAAGCTGCCACCGGTCGAAGCTCACTCGCCGCTCTATGATTCGATAATATCCAAGTGCACCGCCTGCAACTTTGTTAATTATTTATGCAACACCTCTCTGGCCGGCCACTGCGGCTTTCCGAATCTAGAGCACCGGTCGCGCACAGACTTATACGAATTGGGTCGAAAAATTTGCCCTTGTTACGTCAAAATACGGCCAATGGAGCGAAATGTATTCTCTGATTAATATTCTTTCGAAGCGTTTAAATTATTTTGAAAGAGAGAAAAATGATGAAACAAAGCTTTTGAATTTTAATTTTAAGAAAACTGGCTCTGGTTTATTTTAAATGTTATCTTTTTATTTTGAAAACAGAATACAAAAATCTACATCGAAACTTTTTCTTTTAGAAATATCACATGTAACTTTTTACACGGATTCAACTTTGCAATCTTTCAAATATAAAAAAACCCTTTCATAGCCAACAGAGTCATAAGCTTATATAGATATTCCTTCTCCCTTCGGAAAAAAATTCAGCTGATATGGCAATATTGGTCGCCGCTTATTTTTTATCTGGAACTCTCGGGCTTTGATGCAGCATCCAATCTGGCCTTTTCATCCCTGGAACAATAAAGCTCTTCTTATAAATGTGACTGCAGAGAGAGATTTCCCAAATTACTCACCCGCTGCTTTGAAATAAGTCGCAACCGTGAATTCCGGCCGGAATGTATTTACGTCAAAATGACGAACGGGCGCCCACACCTTTTCTTTCGCGCGAATTAAACTCCATTTTATCCTGGCTGTTACGTCACGGGCTGGATATACATGATCGCGCGCGAATGACGTCAACGGAGGCTGCTGCTGCAGCGAGGGCGGTTTCGGCCTACGCGCGGAAAGCACCCCTACTGCCGCAACCCACACAACGTTGGTGCAGACTGAAAGGTCACGGCGTGCGCGAATTTATTTTGGGCGCACCCGACGTCCATATTAAAAAGTTTGCTATGAATTCGGCGACCTTTCCGCCTCGCATTATGATTTAGTTTGGCCAGACGCTGCAGTATGACAAAATTTGTTAGGGCGCGAACGCGACTCGCGAAACTGCGGAGATCGATAAAGGGTTTGAAGGGTAAAGTACAGTCAATTGCACCAGTTGCACCTCCATGGGCCATTGGACAAATAATTTTAATACATTTATTTAATCAATCAAATTATATCAAGGAATTGCTAAAAAAATTAATTTAATTTCAAATTGCTTCAAAAATATTGAATTATTTTTCTTTTAATAATGATTTTTTTAAACGGTCTATTTATAGGCAACTCTTTTTACGTATAACCAATATTTCTACCAGGAAAATTCAAAAATCTAGAGATCAATATTTATTTTATTTTTATTTTATCAAAAATTTTAACTCTTTGAATTTATCTTTAAATTTTTGTAAAGGAAGAATAAATTTAAGGAAAAGTTTTTAGAAGAAAAGTAGTTTTCTTTATTTTTTTAAATTATCTTCATTCCTATTTAATTGAGTCGCTTTTGCATTTTAACGAGTGGAGACTGAAGCAGGGTTGACTGCACACGTGTGTATTTGTTTTTGACCGTTTTTTTGTATTAAACTGGTGCAGTGCCGGTGTCTGGTCGTGCTCTTTATACACAAGATACTGGGTGTACACACAGCACTCATGTGCGTTAAGCCTGTAAGCGAAGAAAATGTCATGCTGCTGGTTAATATGTAAAGCAGTCTTGTGTCTACGTCAAAAGTATTATAAGATGCAGCTGCACTCGTTTCCAAACAGACACACACACATGAAATAAAAGCTTCAAAAGCGGCAATTAGCGCAGTCTCGCTCGTTCCATATCACGTGGAAAAGTGGTAATTAGGCTGTGGTCTTTCTTGTTATGGACACAACAAGAAATATTAATTACATTTTAATTTCAAATTAATGCACGCGGTTCAACAAAAAGCACCTTTTCGAGAGCCGCCGCCGCCGCTTGATATGTACAAAAATAAATTTCTATAATAGGGGCATTCATTTGCGGCTTCGGTGGAGAGATTTTTTTATTTCAACGCCGACCAGCATATTATATACATTTTCCGAAGAATTTTCAAATTTAGGCGCAGCCACGCCATTATATTACATATTTCATATAATTTTCCATACCGAAAAGCGGCTGGAATGCGAGAGAGAGAGAAAAACCCGGCCCATCATTTCTATTATTTCCTGCCTCACGATCTTCCCATTCATCGGTAATTACGATTAACAGCCGTTTTCATTCCAATAAATTGCTGAACAAAATCTAACTTTGAAATCTTTCTTCTTTCCCCGCGGCTCGCACGGAGAGGGTAAGAAAGAGAGAAAATTTTCATTCTCTTTCTCCCTGGGGTCGTAATTAAGCCGGCGGCAAAACCAATCATTATCGCTTTTGGTTGCAAAGAAAAACATCATGGCTGCGCTTCTCGCCCCCCAAAAAAACGCCGATTTATGAAGCTGCAGGACGTCAGAACCCATTAATTAGCTGCAGGACTAAAGGCGTAAAGGCAGTAGTTTTGTAATCTTTCAGTAACACAATCCAACTCTGCTCTTGTGAGGCAATGTTACAACAATGTAACACAAAACTAATTTATGGCGTGGAGATGGGCACTCTCGGGGAAAATAATCACCATCAAACAATAATATAAAGAAAGACGACGTGCGAGAGAGCACGACTTTAAACGGAATTCACTCAGTACTGCCGCACGACTTGGTAATTAATTCCGAATCACGGCAAAACATCTTTATATACTTAATGCTGAATTATACTCACTTTCCAATTCCTTACAAATCCAAAAGCAGGTTTTAAGGCCAAATTTATTTTTCATTGCCCGGCGAAAGAAAACGACGAGACGCACATTGCATAGAGATTAACCTGAAAAAATGTAACGAAATTCGCGCGAATTCGATAAGCGGCTGGTTGAAAGTCGGCCACAAGTTTTATGACTCGTGAGATTTCAAGGAACGGTGTATGCGTTATTATTGCAATTTTCTTTGAAATCAGCACCATAAATGAAATTATAAAGTCCAATTTCAGCTGCCTACTGGACAATTATTTTTTTTCTAAAAAAAAATATAACCTCATTTTAAAAAATAATAAGTACGCCAAAATATTGAGCACTTTTTAATATTTTCTATAAAGGTTCTTGAAGTTGCTGTTATTGGGGAACCTTAAAAAAAATTTAACATGCAAATTACATGAAATAAAAAAAAATAAATAAATTACAATATTTTCTCCTTAATTTTTAATACAGAATATTTGAATTAATTCAATTTTAAGAATAAAATTTCAAAGCAAATTAAATAAACTGACAAAAATTGTGAAATTTCCGAAAACGTGCATACCTCTTTTCTCGTCAGAAGCCGGATTTTGTTTATTAATCATTTTTTTAATAAACCTTTGTTTTCATTATTTTTTATTTTGTTTTTTGGATGGGAGATTAGGCTGGAAAATGATAAATCGGCCATTTGTGTCTGGCCTTCATCAATTTAAGCACCGCCATAAACATCGGCGCTTCACGGTCGCGGCGGCGCGAAATTCGTGTGTGCGAAATGAGCGGCGGCACATTAACTACTTTCTGCAAGAGGCACCACTGACCTAGACAACAATAGTGCTGTGTCATTAGCGGTGTGCGGCTGCGAAAAGAACTTTTCTGTAGCCGGTGTTGTTTGTGTTCGCAGGTTCGGAGTTGTCGCCCCGCAGCAGTCACGACTCGGAGACCTACTCGTGGGCCCTGAACGGCCGCGGCTCGTCCACGCCGTCGCCGCCCCTCAGCAACGGCGGATCATGGCAACAGGACGAAGGTGTCGTTCTGGACGCCGACTTCGCCATGGACGACCTTGAGGATACGCCTCGCAAAAAGAAGGTCAGTTTTCGTTCGATTTAATGCTTTTGGCAAATGTACCTTTCATATTATGTATGACATGCATTGGGCGTGGAGCAAAAAGTAGTAATGCACCGCAGGGTGCGGCTCTCGCGTCGGCATTTATCCGCGTCGCTTTTTCGGTAGCGGAAATTTGACTGAAGGTTGAAAGAAATATGCGACCTTTTTTATTAATCGCAGATTATTTGAATGGAAGGTTGCAGAATAAATTGCATTCATACAATTATTAGCTTAAAATCCACACCGTTTTAATTAATTTTGATTTGAATTTAAAGTTGGCTTTCCCTCGGTGGGTTTTGCGAGTTGTTGATTGTCAATAAGCAACTCACAAAACCCACCGAGGAAATTTTACATTCAAATCAAATTTTAATTCAGTTTCTATTAACTTTTGTTTGCTCTTTGAAAATATAGCTTTTTTTACATCCCGGCTCATTAGTCGAAATTTATTCCAAAGGTTTTAAGCTTGGCCAGCTTCTTCACTCCCCATTACAAACTCCAAAGTAATTATTTGACATTCACTTTAAAATGGCAGAACGAAAATTGGGCGTCGGTGCTTTTTACCCATTGTGTTTACCAAGAAGCTCTGCTGCTTCTCTTGTTATATTCCATGCAAACAATGCGTTTCAAGTGCGGTGTATATGTATGAATAGCCTTCATTATCCCCCTAAAGTGACAGATGTATGTGTTGTGCACAAAGAGTCAATTTTCCGGCACTACATGATTGCGTAACTCGCACGCGCTCGCGCCGAAACAATACCGCGATCTTGCGTGGTGAATAATTTAATTCGGATCCAGCCCATCCATTGTTCGTTCGATTCGCTGAACAAAATTGATGGGTCCAAATTGAGGTGCAGGTAAATCAGTCAGATTTTTTGTATATATACGGGCTGCACTCTCCGCAGGCTGCATTTGGCTTTGCATGTGTGCGGTATCTCAATAACAAATGGCTTTTCGACTTTTATACGCGCGAGAGCAGGAAACAGCTCGGCTGTAAATCTCGCGTTCGATCTCTCCCAAATATAATAATTGGTTGCGTGTTTTATTAGCAAGGAAATTTATGTTGTGTGTGTCACAACAGCCTGCTTTTTCATATATTATTTTAAACCCCCACTTTTTTTGTTATTCGAATCAATAATTACCATATGTGCATGCGATTTTATCCTAATTTTTTTTACCCTCCACGAAAATGACCGGAGCTTTTTAATATGAAACCGCCCGGTTGTCACATAAATTTCCAGCCCGCGAGTGAAAGGCTAATTACAATTTATAAATGAATTTGTCGTTGAATATATATAAAAGCTGCGACCCAAGTCTCTCAGCATTTTGAAATCAAGGCCGGTCCGTGCTGCGAGTGCTTTTCATTTTTATTATCATTCGGCTGCATGCGAGCGGCAAATATCAAAACTCATGCATGACGATGTCGAAATTTTCGTTTTTTTTTATATGCCTCCCTACCGTCAAATTTACTTAATTAAGGTAGGTCACGGACTGATGCGGATACGTGTGTCTTTTTTTCCGTAAAACGCGATAAAATTCCGTGTTGTTGCACCTGCGGCGACCTCCAAAAGAACAATTTATATATTAAATGCAGAAATTATTTCGCCACTCGCGTCACACTTGAATAACAACAAAGTGCTGGAAAATCCTGCGGCGGCGAATCGACTTTCTTTCGCAACCGCGCCGACTAATTGCAGGAAGAGAGGCAGCGGATTTGGTGTTTTTGCTATACAATATGCCTCCATGTTGAGCAGAAATTTCGTCAGCCGTTTAATTTTTTTTTAATTGCGCGATAAAAACGACAAGCGGAAAATACAACGCACTTTGCAGCTCGCCGGATTTTACAGTTAGTATTCTACTTTCTTTGCTTCTCTCTCTCTTGAGAGTAAAAATATATATTTTTGAGAGGAGAAATTGGAAACAAAAATAAGCAAAAGCGCGAGAGTGGGGATGGCTATAACTGTTCGCCACGAAAATTGCGCGGCACCAAAACAACTTTTCGGCCGGTGCCCGTGGTGGCACCTCTTTCTCGGTTCTCCACCGCTCTCAGCACGCGTACTTTATTGACTTTTGTAAAGGGAGAGCGAGAGAGTGGTGCTGCTGTGCCGGCTCCACTCTCTATGTAGATAGAATACGCAACGGATTTTGGGAGCGCGCGAATTGCGCAACTACGCAGTTTCAGGCCCAGAGATAGAAATAAATCATCAGTTTTAATGTCCGTAGCCCTTCCGCCGACACGCACGGAATGAGGAGAGATTCGGACAATGAAAACGCCGAAAACGGAATTCCCTGAAAGTGAATTCTAATGAGGAAAAGGAAAAATATTGCCACAGTTTTAATTTATATCAAAAATTAATTAAAAGATTGTGAACCAAATAGTTAAATTTTTATTTAATTATTTATTAATATTTAAAACTTTATTCAAAAGTTAATGTCACATTTTTTTTTAATTTAATTGATCACTGCGGCGGATGGGGTATTTTTTATTTCTAAAGTTTTAGCAAAATTCTTGCCAGAGATGGTGCCGTTTTTTCCAATAATTGGTTTCTTTTCAGTAATTTTTTTTCAACAATTGAATATAAACAATATGATGTAACAATTCAAAGACATAAAATAATAGTTCAGCACATTTGTCAACATCTGACCCTTCATATTTATATAAAAAAAAATGCGAGACGTATTTTATTTGTTTGTCTGATGTTCTTGATGTTCTTCCCCCTGACCCACAATTGCCAAAAGTGGAGATATCAAACAAACTGATAACCTCTGCACCTCTCGTGATTCGAGTTGAAAACTTTTGCCTCCTGTCACTCTCGGGGCCCCCGCTGTCTATATAAAATGTTATCAAAGTGATCGCGGAAAGTGAAAGCTCAATTTCTTTCTTTCTCTGTGGCAGGGAAACCGAACAAGTTTGCAATTATTTTCCATTGTCAACTCCAATCCTGATATGTGCAATAATAACTCGATGTATATTATATTATAATTCAGGAGTGCTGCGTAGTTGGCCGCAAAAGCAAAAGTTGGGAGTGGTAAAGGTACAAACATAGCGCGCGAGCACAGCAGGTTGCATAACGTGCGGAAGGGGCGCCGCGCTCTCTCTCTCATTCGCTGCAAAAGAGGGGTTCGCGATCAATAAAATCCCGGCCGGCTCTCTCGCAAAAGCAACACACAGACCAGCATGGAGCCCAGCTGACTCTATTTTACTTTTGTTTACATCCACCAGCAGGCAGGCCGAGGCTGCTCGAGTGCGCTCCGAGCGCCTCCGGAAGCCGCTCGAGCTCGCCCGAAAGCGAAAAATTAGCCTTACTACGGCCGGGAGGTGCGGAGGGATTTGCCGGTTCATCCAATTTGGAAAATGGGTCACACACTCGCCGAGAAATTGAATTACGACCGCACCGAGTCGGAGCTTTAATAAAGAAGGAGGGTGTCACGCCAAGGACGATATAAAAATTAACTTTTGCCCAAAGAAAAATTACCTCTCACGGTGAATTATGGCCGCTGAGGAGGAAGAGAAAAGCTCAGCAAGGGCTACCAACTGCTTTCGATCTTAAAAAATTGACCTAAAATTGAGAAGAAATAAAACCAATGGCGAAAATAAGTAATTATTGATTTTTGTTTAATTTGCACCAAAAATTATTCTGAAAATATTTGATTTTTGCAAATCATGCTTAAAAATTTACTATTTTATTATCCAATGGCTTTGAAGTTCACCAGTCTTAAAAAATATTAATAAAAAAAAACTTCTTATCCCTCTGCATGATCAGAAAGCAAAAGTCTATATGACATTTATACCATGCACTTCCATGATACTTTGATTGAAGCGGAACAAAAAATGCAATTGTGAGAGCCGCCGCAGTGCAGATGTGGAAAGTTCTCAACTTTTCCAAACCGCGCTGATGGATGATTTTGTTATTTGCACGTCACTAATCCATGTGCATTTGCATAATATCAAAAGCTATGCACGAGCTCTCGGGGCCGATGTGGGTCACGCCGAGCACAATGCAACGCGCGCCGAGCATTGATTTTAATCAAGTAGCCGCCCCTGCTGCCTATGCTTTTCTGTATACATGTGCAGCCGGTGCATGCATGTGCGAATTATTGCAGGCCGCCTAAGTAGGTTGCATCACTAATCGTGCACCGCCCCAGCACTGCTGCACAAACATATACATACACAAAGCGCACAGTGAGCGCTCGACGATTGCAACACACACACGTGTTGCGCAATCCGTTTCGAAACCGGCGGTGCGAATGCACTGCCGACAGCTAGGGATGATCGAGGGTTGCGAAACGAAATGCTTATGACAATCTGGGCCGCTCGTCCCAAGTGCAAATGCAAATGTGCACATCTTTGCGTAATGGAAATTTACAATCGGTGATGCAGTGGAAATGGGATTCTATATAAATATCTTTTATTGAAAAACTTTTGCAATTTAGATTATGCAAACATAAATAATGTAAAACTATAAAGACTAAGTATAGATGTGAACGAACAATTTTAATAATTTAAAGCAATGAATCAAAAGTTTAATCTAATTTAATGTTATTTAATTAGAAAAAGAGAGCAAATTTAATTCAAATTTCAGCTTCAGTCGTGGAATTTTGTGTTCTTTTAATTTCAATAAGCCTTTAACACGGAGCTTAGGGCATCTTTACGCTGAAAATAAATCTACTGAAAAGTTGAAAGTTTAAAAAAATGAGAACAATCAAAATTTTGAAGTCGAGATACTAATTAATTTTGTGCCATCAAGTAAAATTGGGGTGTTATAAACTTATTTTGATGACATTTTTAACCGTTTTAATCGAGCAAATGTCGAGAAGAAGAAAACTATTTGATAATATTCCAATAATAAAGTGTTAATTTCAACTTTCAAAAATTCAGTTCTCCCGTTGAATTCTATAATTATTTCTTATGGCGTCTCCTTGGAAGTGATATCTGAAAACCAATACTTTAGTAGAGAAATTTACCATCAAAAATATTCAGGCCC